ATATCTTATTTTACCTGAGACATTATTTCTGATTTGACTGCTTTTACAATCTCATGAAGTTGTTTCCTTACTTCAGTTGCTACCCTCTCAGAGATTTCAACTGTGTGACTTTTGTTTTCTTCCATGACGGTATCTCCCAGACTTGCTCAGTATGGGCTGGAGGTCTGAGATTGCCTTTTGCTCCTTTGTCTTGACATTCTCTTGGGTTCCTCCCAACAAGCTGGTTGTGGGGCCCCAGGAACTTCCCACACTGGCTGCCCCTCCATGGTGTAGGGGGTGGGATGGGCATCTGGGTTCCCCTAACCCCAAATTTACAGGGAAGTAGCAGGGCATGCAGCAGGCTTCTTCAGACCTGTGCAGCTACACTGGGGCTTCCCTGATGATCAGGGGTGTGTGGAGGTGGGGCTGCTTTTCTCAGCCTATGTGTCTATACTGGGACTCCCATGATGGTGGCAGACACATATGTATTTGTATGTGTATTTGTCTGATTCTGCCTTTGGGTGATGACTGCCTGAACAGTTATCTACTTTCAACAGTGTGCCAAGGGCCTCCAATGGAGGCCTACACATGCACAGGGCTCACCTGGCTGTGTATCCCTGCTCCTGCTGGCCATAGCAGGAAGTAGCCTTCCAGTGGCAGCTCCCTGCAGGTGGAGGTGGATCTGCTGGCTCTCTCTCATGCACATCTTATCACAAGTAGCTTGAAAACAAATAAGGGAAATTCTGATGCTTGAACCTAAAAATTTATCACCATAAATAACTTTAACCTGGTTCCTGTGACTGAGGTTCCAGTTGTTGGAAATGAATTTGTTGCTGAGTGTAGTGGTGCACTCCTGTAATCCCAGCACTCAAGAAACTGAGGCAGGATTGCTGTGAGTTTGAGATCAGCCTGGGTTACAAAGTGAGCTCAAGGCCAGTCTGAACTGCATAGTGAGACCCTGTCTCAAAAAGAAAAAGAAAAAAAAAAAAAATTAATTTGTTTGTTTAGACTCAAATGGAACCCCATAAGCAGCAAAAGTGAGGCTTTAATAAGTTTGGCTATTGTGAAAACCTAATCAAACAGCTTTCCATGGAAATCTCAAAGAGAATCAAAGAAAGAAAAATAAATTGTTGAGCTCAAAGCAGTTCTTGAGCTTCTGTAAAAATACTGGTGAAGGTTTCTTTTCTTCTCTAATTAATCTGTCTCAGTTTAGCATAATTTACTGGCTTAACTTTTGTTGCCTTTGGTCTTTGTTTTTTACAAAATAGACCTAACTGGTGTATCCTATTGCAGTTCCCCTTCTGGGGCCTTATCTCTAGGGTGGGCAGAGAAAATATTGAAAGAAATAGAGTGAGACAGAAAGTGGGAGGAGCTCTGTGTGAAAAGCAAAAATAGCTTGGAAATAGGGTCTTTGTGTCACTGCAGGTACTTATCAAAAACACAAAGAATTTGGAAATTAAATATGCCAAATTCAGGCCATTGGATGAACAAAATATGAGATGATTAGGCTGACTATCCCCTTTTAAACCAAGTGAGAGAAAGAATTTTTTTTTTTTTTTTTTTGAGACAGGGCTCACTATGCAGCTCAGGCTGGCCTTGAGCTCACTTTGTAGCCCAGGCTGGTTTTGAACTCACAATGATCCTCTTGTCGCAGCTTCCTGAGTGCTGGGATTATAAGCATGTGCTATCACACTCGGCTGTAAGAATTTTTAGAAGAGTATCTGCCCTCCTCCTCCAGTCTCTCCGGAAGCCCACTGCAGATTTTTTCAGAAGATTGGGCAAGTATAGACATTTAGGACCTTACAGTGACTGATCTGCCAGAATTTGAAAATTTGGGAACCCACAGTAACTGGTAAGAAAATGGCTGGGATCCCCAGACAGCACTAGGGACCTGGAGATTCTCTAGTGGATATGGCCTGGCCATTTCAGGGAATATTTTCCTGAGAGACTGGGCGGGCGTCCCTACTCCAATGTCTGTAGAAGTCCACAGCAGATTCTGGCTCTGTGGGACCCCGGGAGTGTGGAGTGGATCCACTCTTCACAGGCTCACCTGGGAGAAGGTAAGGAGCAATCTTTACAGCCCTGGCTAGATAATGAAGTATCTGGTATTGAGCACAGGGTTAGCAGGAAGTGGCAAATGACCTCCTGGAGCCCATAAGGAAGAGAGAAGAAAGACAAAGAGAGAAGATTAGGCACCATTGGAAAGCATTGGGGACCCAAAAGGAAGAGGTGGGGGATATTGGAGTAGTCCTTTTGACCCCTCTCTGTATAGGCCACCAAATGTTAGGAAAAAGGAAAAGAAAGAAATAGGTATGAGCTCCATAGGATAGGTTTATTACAGAACAAACTTGAGAAGGACCACCTAGCACTAGAGATCAGATCAGCTGCTCTCCTACAGACATAAAGGCAATGGGGTCTTTTGTAGGGTCATGGGCAGAGGGAAGTCAGAGAGAGAGAGGCTGTAGCTCTCTGCTAAGAACAAAGCTTGAGAGAGCACAAATGATCATGGTTGCCCAAGGACAAGGCTTGGGAAAGCACAGGGAGATGTGGCTTCTACTCACAGCAGGGCTGATCATGTTATGAGTTCCCAAGTGGGTAGGGGCATTTAGAGGGCTCTCTGATCAGGATGGCTGTAGTTGGATTCCTTCATCTAGCCCCAAGCACCCCTCTACCTTCCCTGTATGGAAGCTTGGGCAGGCACTCTGTCCAACTTGGCTCTGCCAACTGTTTCCATGGTAGGCTCTGACAATAGGGGGCACCAGAGAGCAAGACTAGTCAAGGAAGGACCCCATCCTGTCCACTAGGTATTCCTCCCCGTGGGTATTCCTGCAACAGCTCCTCCTCCTGGCAGTGGTGATTGGCTGTAGCAACCACAGGCTCCAATTTCCAGGCTTTTCCCACGTTCCCATGGAGGCCTTTGGACACTCCAGCTGCTGGGCTCCACAGGCACATTCTTCCAGGGTATGAGTTCCAGCTGCTGGACTCCATTACCCTGACTCCATTTCCCCCTGTTCTCCCATCCTCTGGTTGGCATGCTTCCTGCAGTTACTACTGTGCTGTCTCACTGTTTGCTTTCCCAGTTGTCAAATACCACTGAGCCAATTCTTTATATTAGTTTGTCTCTAACAACCACAGTATGATTTCTGTTTTCCTGATGAGACTGACTTAAACAAGTGCCTCATTCCCCAAGGGCTTTAGGGGCCATAGTTAAGTTCAGCAGTTTCCAGTGGGTGTGTCTTTGTACAGATAAGACCTAGTGGTGACAAGCTTAGGGTCAGAGGGAGGATTTAGTGTACACAGGCTTGATGACACACACCACATAGTCTTCAGGAGTGACGCACACTTGGGCCCAAAACCAGGCTGGACTAGTTACACCAGCAGAAAAGCAATGAGGAGGAACTGACACAAAGCCCAAAGAGGGCGAGGAAGCCAGCAAGGCCTTCAAGCCTAGAAGCTTGGACCCAATGCCATCCATAGGATACAAATATAAGGCTGTCACTAGTAAATCAGGTTGCCAGAACTCAGTAGGGCTGATGGAACCCACTGTGTGCAAGCCCTATTCCATGTAAGAATAGTTCTTCCTTTCAATAGCCCAGCAAGCTGCTCAATTTACAGATGAGTAGACCAAAACTCAAACCACTGGGCCCTGGACCCAAAACTAAGTGTGAGTCAAAGTATGATAGGCCTAGGTCTGTTTGGCTCCTGGTCTCCTTAAAGACCGAGAAACAGAGCCTCAGAAAAAAGAGTGCATCACCTCACACAACCAGCAAGTGGCAAAGACATTAGCCCCTTAATCCTTGGTCCTTTGTACTTTGATGAAAGAATTCTGCAAAAGACACAGGCACAGAACTATAGACAAAGTTTAGTGTAAAACAGATAAAGAGACATTTACACCTTCAAGGAAAAAGGCAGGAAGTGCCACAAAGGCATTTGCTTTAAGTGGGAGTTTGAATATCTTTTTAGGCACACAAGAGTTACCCCTTGGGACCCAGGGAATTATGATGATTACAATGCTTATCAACATTTTTCGTAGAAGTTGCTTTGGAAATGTCTTCCTTGTCCTTTTCAGATAGTCAGTGTCAGCTCAGAGACCTTAATCCTGAAAGATATTTACAGAAGAAACTCACAAAGAAGTTCTAATCTAAATCTGGTCTCAGCTCAAGGCAGGAGGGTTTTTAAAGAATAATGCTCTCTTTTCTGATATCCGTGGGCCATTAGGTATGGCAACCAAGTATGCTGTCTGTCTTGTTCTGGAAATAAACAGTTCTGTGTCATCAAGAATGTACACAATGTATGATCCTGAAATGTCATTGTGCTTTATGGGATTGTTTTGGGTCTAAGACCTAACAAATGATTATGAATGTGTTATTCACTGAGGTCTTTGTTTCTTCATTTAACTGTAACTGGCAAAGTGTGCTTTTACGGATGACCTTTGTCCTTCTGGCCCACTAATTCCTGCTGGACACCACCAGCTTTCATCTTGGGGGTGAGGCACCACTGGAGAGAAAAGCAACCCCATGAAAGCTTCCAACCCAGAACTGATTATTTTTCCAAAGGAGAGTAACTTTTGCCATTTAATTTTTTGTTTTGTTTTGCATAAACGGTTTCAGATTTATAGAAAAGTTGTAAGAATAGTGCAATCAGTTCTAAGATACCTTTCTCCAAATTCTTCAAATTTACTATATTTGCTTTTTCTACATGTAAGAGTACGTATGCCTGTGCATCTCTTCCAATGTTAAAAGTTGTCAGTATGATTCCTCCCTTTTCTTCCAAGATACATCATGTATATTTCGTACCATCAAAGGGGTCCCACATAGCCATGGTACAGTTATCAAAACTGGGGAATGAACATCAGACAAGATGAATCTAGACCTATTCAGATTTTATAGTTGTCCCCAAATGTCCTTCAGAGAAAAAAAAAAAAAAAGCAAGACCACCCATTACATTCAGTTGTCATAAAGAGAATAAATTTTAAACCAGAAATACATTGGGGGAAGCAGAGCTATAATCAAGTTGACAGATGTAGGAGAAAGTTTTATTTCTGCAAATCTGAATCAAACTGTCAATGCTAACCCTGCTGCATTAGCAATAAGTAACAGTATTAATGATGACGATAATAATAATAGTTTAGGGCCCTTTCTGCCCTCTGCCTTTGTCTCTGTGACAAAGAGATAACAAAGTCATGCAGTAACAACCAGTTACACTGTGAAAAATTTTTTACAGAGGTGCTGCAGCACGGTGGCAAAGACAACAGGTTTGGAATCGGTATGTGTGCAGATAATCAGAGGAATTGAACTCAGCATTTGGAAGGACCCCCAGTCAGATGAGGCGATGCCTGGCAGATAGTGTGGTTCCAGTATCAAGTGGGTGTCTGTCTCTCTGAGAACACACCGCTTCTTACCTCCCTTGGCTGGCCCTGAGCTGTACTCTTGCTGTGAGAAACTAGCTTTGCCTCATGCTGGTGGTGTGAGCTGGTGCAGGGCTTACCTTTCTGAGGCTCTGTTTCCTGGTCTTTAAGGGGAGGTTAACATGATAGGACCTGGACCCCAAAGCCCTAGGCCGATCATACTTTGACTCTGTGGTATTAGTTCTGGGTGGTTTGAGTTTGGATCTTGTCATTTAAGCCCTTTACTGGGCTATTGTGCAGAGGAACTGCTCTCATATGGAGTAGGGCTTGTACACAGCAGGTTCTATCAGCCCTTGTGAGCTGGAGCGTGCGATTCTTCCTCTCTGAACCTCAGTCTCTTCATCTGTAAGGCAGCTCCAGTAGTACCCACCTCCGGATGTTGTGAAGAATAAGAAGTGGAAAGACTTGATGCTGGGAAAATCCTGGTACACTGCTGTGTAGTAGAGTCTGTGATTGGCAGGAACAAAAACAGAAAGTGCCTTAGAATCCAGGTGCCAAGAATGTGGGTAAACCTGTTCCTTCCACTGCTCCCCCAAGCTCTAAATCCTCCTTGGTCTTGCTCCAACCAGCTTCCTTCCCTCCTCACCTGGATGCATCTAATGCTGGTCTCCACCTGCCTGTCCTCTTCTTGGAAGCCACTCAGTCCCGCCTCCGAGAAGGGAAGAAGAATGTCACCTTGTCCTAGACTGACAGAGCTACCTCTCTGCTGGAAAGCCAGGAAGGACCCTGCAGTCCTGGCAGGCTTTCCCCGAAGGAGCCCCTCCTCTCCTCCAGCCCGGCCGGCTTTTCCCTGTTTTAGCACCTACCACGCTCAAGGTTAGGAAGGAGAGCCGAGACACACAGTGGCAAAGGCTCTACCTGGGAGAAAGAAAGTCAAATATAGCATTTATAAGATCAAGAAAGGAATGAGGAAAGACCTCCAGGGCAAGCGGCTCACAGCAAGAGCACAGCTCAGGGCCAGCCAAGGGAGGTAAGAAGCGGTGTGTTCTCAGAGAGACAGACACCCATTTGATACTGGAACCACACTATCTGCCAGGCATCGCCTCATCTGACTGGGGGTCCTTCCAAATGCTGAGTTCAATTCCTCTGATTATCTGCACACATACCAAGCAAATGCCAGGAATGCTGTAACTCCAAAGATATTTATGGAATGAGTACGCTAATAAAGGTGGCGTTAAATCTTCTTGTTTATCAGAGGAGGCATCTGAGCTCTAGCAAAGGACAGAAGGGATTTCCACCCCTAGGTCACTTCGTCCTGTCCACCTTCCATTTAAAAAGCATCTCCCTCTAATACTCAGTCCTCACTCGGGCCAGAGCTTTGCCAAGAGGACTGCATTTGAGAACCTCAGTGAGAGCCAAAGACCCCATCTGGTCCCTTGAGGCCTCTTTATAGCCTCAGAAGCGAGGTCAGAGCAACCCAGAGAAAGAAGAGCAACCAGATCCCAAGAAGTTCACCTTGAAATATAGATCCAGCTGTTCCTGAGGCTAGAATTTGATGACCCGGAAAAAGAAAAAACAGCCCAATAAAGAATTTTTGTTTACCTAGTTAAAAAAAAAAAAAAAAGCAGTGCCTGTGGAGGTGGAGCCTGTGCCAGACAGATCGTGATGATTCTCTGACTGGAAATGGAGCGACTGGGAAATACCTGTGAGTCTATACAGAAACAAAACCCAAAGGTTCCATTCTTTTCCATTATCTATTTATTCATTCCCATGACTCCTTTATCAATGTGGAGTTTCCCAGTGTCACTCTTTCCTGTATATTTCAATCATTTTGCTTTATCCATTACAACCTATACATGCTTTGGGGGGGGTGTTTTTGTTTTACTTCATGCTTTTCTGTATCTGATTTGGGGGGGGCATAGCTGGCAGTGGAACCAAGGGCCTCGCACATGCGCGAGGCAAGCACTCCACTGCTGAGCTGCGGCCTCAGCCCCTATGCTTGACCATTTTACCTAAATGAATTGAGCCTCAGCCTAAGCAAGAGTTTGCCTGTTCAGTATGTTTGTCTGACCGGTACCCCTGAAACCTTCCGCTGCACCACTCTTGGGCACATTTGCATTCATCCATCTCTTCTCTCCCACATCTCAGAGTCCAAATTTGAGAGCTGAAGGGCATTTGGATCCAGGGACCTTCCAATTCTAATATTCAATGTCTGTAGAAACACCAAACAAAGGAAAATATAGACAGAAGCTGTGGAGAGGAACCCAAGACCCAGAGAGGCAAATTTCAAAGGCAACAAACATAGCTGTCATATTTCCAAGGCTGAGCAGTGACTCAGGAAGGCCAGATGGGAAATCGTTTGGGGTTGGCCTATAAACCATCCTTCAAAGACTAAGAAAAACAAGTAGGCAAATCCCTAGGAGTCTTAAGCAGTTACACATATTTCATTAGGCTTTAAAAATCTTTCAGACAACCTAGCATCTCCAATAAAATTTTACCAGCCAGGTGTGTGTAATCCTAGCATCCTGGGAGGCTGAAGCAGGAGGAATGCAATTCTGAGCTCAGCCTGCGATCTTAATGACTTAATGACTTTGTGAGACTCTATCTCAAAATAAAAAATAAAATAAAAAGTGCTAGTGATATAGTCCTACATTCAGTCTCCAGTACCGAAAACACAAACATAACACACAAACACACAATGGAGTTTTATCTCAAAGAAGCTCAGCACTCAGAAATGAGTGGGCATAAAAACGATCCACCTAGAGCTATGGATTTAGCTCAGTGGTACAGCACCTGCTTAGCAAATGGGAGGTCCTGAGTTTGATTTCCAGTATCCTTGCCACAAAAAAAAATTATTTTAAAAATCCACTTAGCCTCCTCCTAGTCCCCAGGCCAGATCAAACTGAAGCATCTCCTTCTTGAGTTCTTGAGTACCTGTCCAGGCCTTCCTGACCTTACCCATGGGGGTTCATGGGTCCCTGTTTATTCTCTGCAGCCCAACCTTCCTAGTCCAGCAGACTGGGCCGGAGGTGGGCACCTGACTCAGGTATGACCACTCCAGAGGCCAGCCTGGGCAAATTGATCCCTGAATTTTGGAATTAGGATAAGAGCCTGGATAGCCTGCTGCAAGTCTAGGGTGGGCAATGACATGTAGACTTCCCAGGAGACTCTCTTGGACAAGAAGGAGTACCAGTGATCCAAGGGAAGGGCAGGGAAGGGCGGACATTCACGGAGAGCTATCTGTACTGAAGATGAGCAGTCCTGGAGTGAGCTTGTCCTGTGACTTGCCTGCCCTTGAGATCTAGGAGAGATCCCTGGCTCCTCATCTGGAATTGCACTTTTTGCTTAACTGGCGGAAGTGGGCTTCTGTGTCATATAAGCCAATCAATCACTGATATAGTGAAGCACATCTGATTTGGCAAGTTGGGGTGGCAGTGAAGACAGCACTCTTACATTAGATTGGTGGTTTATGATTTTGAAGTCCATAACACAGAAGTCATCACTTCAGCCAGAAGTGACTTGCCTCAGACCTATGGATGCCCAACACTCCTTTCAAGGGTTCCTTCTCTCAAGAGCACAGACTCTTCTTTGGGTCAGGCAAGACCAGGGTCTGCATTTCCACTTACCCATCGATTACCACCTGTCTGACCTCCAAAAAGTTATTTAACCTCTTTGAGCCTCTTTCTTCATATCTGCAAACATAAAGCAGGGCAGTGTGGACTTTGAAGCCAATTTCTGGCTCTGCCTCCTACTGACTATGACAGACATAACATATAGGAACCACCAGGCTTGAGTAAAGGCAACATGGTATGGAATTTATTGTGCCTGGGTGCAGGCAGACAGTATGATATGACCGTCTGCCCCAAAGTGTCCCTTTTATAGGGATGGAGAGAAGAAGGCAGGAAGAAGATCCCAATAAACATCTGTGGTCAAAGTTCTCTGGCAATCTTGTACCTCAGTGGGCAGAGTCCTTGAAATGTCCAGTGTAAATTCTCAGGTGTCTCTAGATGTCCCAGGAGCTGCAAAATTCCTTGTCCTATCTTATCTCCTTTCCTGTGCTTGCCAATGACAACTTCTTCAGTACTGAGTTGAGTTCCCTTGCAGAGAGTAATGCTTCCACTGGCAATCAGGCTGGAGGCTGAGGGAGTCAGGTGCGGAGCCTTACATTGATGACCTTGGAAAATGATGTTACCCCTAGAAACTTCAGTGGGGCTAACAAATAATTAATAAATAATTAAGTGGTTCCGGTAAAGTTTGCATGAAGCATGTGGATGGTTCAGCACATTATCTGGCACATAGTAAAAGTCACCAATATGTGGTAGCCATAATGACAATTTATTATGTAAAGAACCTAGCATGTGGCTGGACACGTAATTACTAATAAAAATTATGTATTATAAAGTGCACACTAATCACTGCAGAGAGTTTGACTTGACCTGGATTAGCAGGATCATTTATAAAACAAAGTCATTTCCGTGGAGTGACACTTTTAAGTGAGTCAATAGTAATCACCAACAGAGCTAATGTGATCTGTGTCCATATTGAGAAAAGCATTGTTGGGCTGGGGGTTTAGCTCAGTGACACAAGTGCCTGCCTGGCAAGGGGGAGGTAGAGGTCAGAGGTCATGAGTTTGTTTGTCCCTAGAAAATGAGAGATGTTAATCCTGTGCTCCTTGCCCTGATCAGACAACCTACTGGTAGGGGGGTGGGAGAGCCTGGAAGAATACACGCAATCCTCAATTTTCTTTCTTTTTTATTTTTAAAAAAAAGCAAACCAGAAAAAAGGGTAAAATTTATACAGAATTTCAAAAAAAATTAAGAAATCATCACTAGTTGATATATTATGTATTTTTATCTTAGAATTATTTCAAGTTACAAAATCAAAGCATAAAAAAATGAACAGATAAACAATGACAGCACAAACTATCAAAAACTTAGTAGTAGGGTTATCTATCTTGCACACTGAAACATACATAGTTATATCCTTTACAGCATCTTCTTTCCCTTTCATTATTTCAATATCTATCACACATTTTGGATCTTATTACTCTTTCAGTTTTTTTTATTATTATTGTTTTTATATTAGAGGAACAATATGATATTTACAAATGTGAGTCTAATTTATTTCACTTATGAGAATAATCTCAAGTTGCCTCCATTTACCTATAAAAGTCTCCAGGTCGTCCTTTTTATAGCTGAGTAATAGTCCATTGTATAAAAAATACCACATCTTTTCATCCATTCTGCAGTTGAGTGGCATTATGGTTGTCTCCAAGATTTAACTATTATGAATTGTGCTGCTATAAATATAGGTGCACATATATCACAGTGACATGACCTTTTTAATTTTTCTGGGAAAATAGGAAAGGAATAGTTGGATTGAATGGAACTTCCAATCCTAGTTTTTTGAGGAATCTCCATACTGATTTCCACAGTGGCTGCACCATCTACACTCACACCAACAGTGGAGAAGTGATCCTTTTTCCCCACAGTCTCGCCGCATTTGTA